GGCTAACCACCCCCAAGTCTCTCAGCCTGTCCCCATGGGAGAGCTGCTCCAGCCCTCTCATCATTTTTGTGGCCCTCCCCTGGACCTACTCCAACAGATCCATGTCCTTCTGCTTCTTGCACTGATCCTGTGCAGCACAGTGATGCACGAGGCATGTGGGCTGGTCTGTGGTGGTGGAGCGAGGTGCTGGGGGGCGATGGGTGGGTAATGCCTGGGGAAATGGGGCCAGGGGTGAGCTGGGGCTGCCCTGTGCCATGCCACCCAGCCTGGGGGAGCTTTTGCTAGCCCAGGGAGTGCTCCAGGCTGTTCCAGACACGGGCCATTTTGGGGAGGGGCCATGGAGGATGAGCATCAGGAGTTGCAGCAGCTGGCAGAGGATGATCCATGGGGCTGTGACTGGGTTGGGGCACCGGGATACTGAAGTGTGGTGACAACTGCGGGAAATAATCCATCCTGCCCCCCAAAATTATCTGAGCCCATTAGCTTTTGGGGGGTAATTTCCAGCATTGTTGGGTCAGCATAGCTTACGTGTGCTTCTCCCCCTGCTCCCCTTCGCATCGCCCCGCAGAAAACCCGTCAACATGACCAAAGCGACCATTAACTACCGGCACGAGAAGACGCACATGATGAGTGCCATCGACAGGAGCTTCACCGACCAGAGCACGCTGCAGGAGGACGAGCGCCTGGGGCTCTCCTTCATGGACACCCACAGCTACGGCAACCGGGGTAAGGGTGGGGAACAGCAGCGTCCCCCTGCTCCCATCCAGCTGCAGCAAAGGGGCCCTGACAATCCCTAAATATCTCAGAACCAGCTGAGATTTACGTTCGGTAGCAGTTACTGTGTCTGTTACAGCCTGATGTGTGTGGCACATTGCAGGCTTTTCCATGCCCTGTGTAAACCTCCAAGGGCATCAGTCTGATCTGTGGCTGTAGCAGCTTTTATTATCCAGGTTTTGCTGAAGGAAAAACACTCGTGGGCAGCTCGAGCTGGGTCTCTGCATCTCAACCTCTCAAAATGGAGATCTGAGCTGGTGGCAGGGAGGGTTGAGGCCATTTCTAGGCTCAAACGCTGGCTGCAGCCCCCCCCTGAAGCTGGGTGAACCCCAACTCTTTGGCTTGCATTGTAAGCTTTGCACCAGGCTTCGCCCAGCACAGGTGCCATGGCTTTGCTCCGCGGTGTTCTGCACAGCCCTGGGCTCTGAAGGGTTAAAGAGCCACCACGTTCACATCAGAGGGAGACTGATAATTTAACACCCACTGGAGTATGCATCTCGATGCTGATTTAGTTGTAAAATAACTCGTTGGATGCCCCAGTTTCAACCATATGCTAATAACATCTGTTACAGTAACTTCAAGATGCTGCTTACCCACAGCTCTTCTCCACCGGCTGCGGGATTAATATGCTTCCCGGCATTGTCTCGTGGATAATAGAAGCCCAGAGGGCAAACTCTGCCTCCTCTTAATACATCTGGCTAGGTGTATTATTTTTCGGTTACTGTCCTCGAAGCACTCATAGGCTGGTGGGTCTGTGACTGGGCTGAGCTGGGGCTGCTCGTCCCAGGTTTCTTTAGGGAAGGGGCTGTGGGGCCAGGTCCTGTTCCCACCCGCTTGCTTGCTCTGCTTCTGGCTGCTCCTCATCCCTCTGCTTGGTGTGAAGGGAGAGGAGGAGATGTGGGGAGCTTGGGCGCTCTGCCATAGCAGGGGACGCCTCTGCTGCAGCCACCCCCTGCCTATAAGCGTCATTAATTAATGAAGGTAAATGAATGGGCTGCTCTGTGACTGGCTGGGGGCTGTTCCCCACCGTGCCTCAGTTTCCTTGCGTAATACTTCTCATGGAAACCCAAGCAGGTCCTCGGCGTGTGGCTGCGCAGAGCTGTCGGCGCCTTGCAAACACCTACAATTGATTTCTCATTAAACCCAGCGGCTAGTGCATCCCTCACCCCTTCCACGGGGCACAGCGTGGCCCTCCCGCACCATCCCCTTGGTTCAGCCACGTGTTGGCAGGTTTCTGGTCACCAAGGTTGGAGCATCGTGTCCTTGGGGGCGGCAGTGCCTGATGGAGACCCTGCTCTGTGCGTGTGCTGCACCCACGCTGCGCCCATTCTGCACGGGCAGCTGGGAGGTGCGGGCAGGGCGTGAGGGGCTGCTCCTTCCCTTCAAGCAGACCGGACATAAAATCCTGGGAGCTTTGTGAGCGAGGCAGTAGGGGCGTTTTCAGAAGTGTTGTTAGGGGAAACCACAACCAGGATGTCTTGCAAAGCTGCTTCCCAGCAGCGTGGGAACGGCGTTCCAGGCTGGCCGCTGCAGGATCCGTGCCTGCTGCATCTCTTGGCAGCAGTAGAGAGCATCAGGTTTTGTGCAAACCCAGATTTTGGGATCTGGTGTGGGACCTTGCCCTGACAAACGCAGTTCAGGTCTTAATCTGGCTCTGCTGGTAATGACATGGCAAAGGCATAAACCAGGTAAATGCTGCATAAACTCCCCCATTAAACAGCAGCCAGCTCCATTTGTGTCAGCGCTAGGAATAAGGCGCCGGTATCTAGCAGTGAGGAAAATTAACTGTTAAGCTGGGCTGGAGACTTTGCCAGTGTGATTTTTCAAGTCAGGAGTTGGTGTGAATATTTGGGCACGTAGCTCTTACTCGTCTAGATGGGAGTTAATTGCTTCAATCAATGGGAAGTAAGCTTATTAACCCCCTTAAGGTCATGCCCACTGATTTCTAAGAGGTCTGCTGTGTTCCTAAAAGACTGTAATGGGTATTTTCAGCTTTGTGTGTAGGAATAGCTGCAGAGAGCACAGGCAGGGTCTGGACCACATGCAGCCCTTGAAGAGAGATGGACCGCAGCACCAGAATCTCCTGGGGTTGTTTCCATGTGCCCTCCCATCCCTCTGCGGGTGCGAGGAAGGTGATGGGGATGTTGTCCAAGGCTTCATTCCCCTGATGGCCCCTGGTTCTTCCTCCCTGTCTGCAGGTGACCAGCGCAGCAGCATGGTCAACGAGTCCAGCAGCCTGCTGGGGGGCTCCCCCCGCCGCCAGTGTGGCCGCAAAGGCTCCCCGTATCACACTGGGCAGCTCCATCCCGCTGTCCGGGTGGCAGATCTTCTCCAGCATATCAACCAGATGAAGACGGCAGAAGGCTACGGCTTTAAGCAGGAGTACGAGGTGAGAGCATCTTGTCCTGGTGCCTTGGAGAGTCGGGGGGAAGGATGATGGACAAGGTGGCATTGAGTGGGACGCGTGTGTGAGAAGATGCTCCAGGTCTGGAGCTGCAGTGCTCTGGACAGCAGGTGCTGGATCTCACAGCTCTCTGGGCAGGCAGCATCAGCATGTGGGGTGTCCCTGGGTCTGGATCAAATCTCTGGTCCTGGCAGCTCAGGATTTAGTCGTTGGCTTGACCAGGTCCCCGAGATGAGCCAAACCAGCTGTGCCAGGCAGCCTGCACCTCTCATCTCTGCAGTGCCCCATCCTGCCTCTCCCATAGGGACTGGGGATGCTTCTCCCTTGCTTGGGTCCTCCTGGGCACCACAAGGTCATGTTCTGCTCTCCAGCACTCTTCTCCTAGGATAAGCAGGGGCTTAGCCTAAATCCCCTGCAGTCTGGCAGCTCCCAAGACTGTGGAGACCCTGGGGAGAGGACGAGAGCGATCCTGGGTGGGAGGGAAGCCCCACTGCAAGGGTCGTTGGCCGCATCATGTCCATCCCACCTCGTTGGGCCAGGGAGCTTGTAACGGAGCGTGCTATCCCACACGCCTGCTGCAGCGTGCCCAGCGGGGCTGATTTCCCGACTCCTTGGTGTCCCACAGGTCTGGCGATTGAAATTTCCAAGGGAAATTACTGTTTAATGCTTAGTTGTTTCAAGTGCAGGAGCTTTTTCTTCTTTCCCCCCCTTTCATGTATTGGACAAACCAGGGCTTGCTATAATCATTAGTGCTCCTTGAAAAGCTGCTGTATGTTCTTGGAACTAGTCATTTGAAAGCACTCAGATATTATGGGAGGGGAGAAAACATGTAATTTCCTTCCACTTTCCTCCTCTTATGCCAATCTATGAATGTTACTGTATTACACACAAACCTGTTCTGTGCTGGGGAGAGAAAGAGACTGGGGAGGTGTAGAAAAAACCCACAACCAACCCTGGAAAAAAAACAGGCAGTCTGTAATTTGCTGGAAAATGGGTCATTTTGTGGATGGAACAGTAGTGTGTAGCTGGCAGAGCGTGCTGTGGAGCTGGGGCTGCAGGACCCAGGTATTGGGGTGGAGGGACCACCCTGTCTGCCCTACTCGCCGGCAAGGTTGTGGGGCCGGGGAGGGCCCCCCAGTCCTGCCCTCGGGTCTTGATGGCCATCCTGTCCTTACAGAGTTTCTTTGAAGGCTGGGATGCTTCGAAGAAGAAAGACAAGACCAAAGGGAGACAGGATCACGTGTCGACATGTGAGTGCCTTTACCAAAGGCTTAGACACTCTGAAGGCTTGAACAACCTTCTGAAGGGCTTTGGGGTGTTTTTTTGTAGGTGTGCAGTCCATGGCAAGGAATACACTGATGGGGTTTGGTTGGTCAAAGGCAGCAGAAAGGTCCTTGCGCAGCACAGGGAGCCCAGCCCAAAAGCTCCTGTTGGGCATCAAACACTGGAGCAAATGGGAGGGATAGAGCTGGGCCAGCGTGGGCCCCTGGAGCTGGATCACTCTTGAAGTCAAAAGATTTTGGGGTGCTTTAAGATTGAGGATAACATCACTGTGGTGTACTGGGTGGTGCTGCAAAGCCCCACATAACCTGGAGTGTGTTTTCTTGCACAGACGTATGAGAAAACTGTAGCCCTGCCCTAGGGAGGTTCTGAATGTGGATGTGCAGCATGAGACAAAGGGGTTAAATGATGAGTTTTTAGGACAGAAGATTGTGGAAGGGCTTGACCCCACCAGAGGGAGGATGCTCCTCACCCGCTCCCTCCACAGTCAGTGTGGCAGGGCCACCTTGCTCCATGTTGCACCTCTGGTGACATTCCTGCAGGGATGGGGACACCAAACCTGGTGTACCAGGAGCTCTGGTGCTCTCCACCTCCCACATCCTTTGCTCTGCAGCCTCATCCCTTCCACCCTGGCACTGGGGCCCCAGGTGACACTGAAGGTTGGGCTCTTTGCTCGCCAGCCTGGGCTCTGGCTGTCCTGGTTCCCTGCTCGGGTGGTCAGCAGGGTGCTGGAGGTGGGTGCTCTGTATCTTTGGCAGGACCGGGCAGAGCTCAGGGAGGTTCCATGCTGGAAGCAGCTGCACCGTGTCTGCGGGTCTAAACCACCATCTTTGGAAAGACCAGCTTGTGTTTATTGCTCCAGACTACGTCCCTAGTGCAGAACAATCTCAAAGGGTGCCCTGGGACCCGGCGGGGTGCCCTGCCATCCCCTGGCTCATCCCCCCGTGTGCTGACAGTCCCTTCTCCCCTTGCTCTCCAGATGATCGTCACCGAGTGAAGCTGCACCCGCTCCTGGGTGATCCCAACTCAGACTACATCAACGCCAACTACATTGATGTAAGTGGGGATGGTGCCTCTCTCCGTGTGGGGTCTGCCCTGGGACAGGAGCTTCCCGTGGACTCTCTGGGCTCTCAGGGTTTGTCCCTGAAGGACCAGCGGCATTTGGAGGAGCTGAGACAGCCCAGGATGGGCTGAACCCTGTGGCCTGAGGCCATGAAGAGCCTGCATGGTTTATTTGTGTTCATCAGCACCCTGCTTGCTGCATCTCTCCCTTCTCTACTCTGCTCTAGCCTTGCTTTCTCCTCCCCTTTTCCATCCTCTCTTCTCCCCTCGCTTGCTCTTGTGGCCATGGGTCTCCCTGTTCCCTGGGCAGAGGTGCAGAGGTTGGGGCCCAAGGGGCCAGCTGGGCTCACACTGGGATACCCGGATCCTGTTGGTGCATGCCAGTCTGGGCAGAGCTTGTCCCTGCTGTCCCCTGAGAATGATGTCCCTCATTGCCTCCAGCGATGCCGAGACCAGGGAGGGTGCAGGAAGGCTACATCAGGCACAGGGGTCAAGCATCTCCTGTAAGCAGCAGCAAGTCCCACTTTGCCTTCTTTTCCAGAGGATATCATCTGGCATTGGTGGCCTGATGCCACTGTGATGGGTTCCCTGTGCCTGAGCAGCATCACTGTGCCTGTCCCCGTGTGTCCTTTCTCCCCTCTGTCTCTCCATGGCCTGCTCCGCGGCTGGGCTCTAACCTGTCTCTTGAGCTGTGCCTCACTAACGTCTCTGTCTCTGATCTTTTTCTCTCAAACCTGTGTCCCAACGGGATCCTTAAGATTCGGATTAACCGAGAAGTAAGTAGATGGTGCCCCTCTCCATCCTTCTCTCTGCTTCCATCTCCTCCCAGGTGTCATACTGGGCAGCGTGGCATTAGATAGGAGAGGCAGGCTGGGAAAATATGGATAAGCTTGGGTACAGTTCCAAGGGAAAAGTGAGGCCTCTGTGGCACGTCCTCCCTGGGGTGACAGAGCAGGAGCTGTGTGCTTGGAGGAGGGGTTGAATTCAACCCACAAAAATCCCCTGTGGAATGACGTGTGGTGGACCAGGACATGAACCATCACATACATGTGATGTGGATGAGCTCTGATGGAGCCGTGGCCAAGGGGTGGGCTGCCGGGTCCCTGGTCCCTTTGGCAGTGGCCTCGCTGGGACATGCTCTCTGAGCTGGCATACCCCTGTTAAGGGTTGGGAATGGTCCCAGTAAGCAGCTGGGATGAAGGAAGGGAGCACGGCCACCGCTCCGTGCAGCATGGCTGCCCTGGGATGGGATATCATGAATGGTGCTCTCGTGGCGGTGTTGCTGTGCTTGGCAGCAGTGCTGGCAGCAGCAGGAGCTGGGGTTGAGCCGATGGACCCCAGGATGCCCACGGAGTGCTGCTGGGGATTTTGGTGCACAACAGGGTTAAGGCTTGGAGGTTACGTGAGAATTTTGTGGGATGTGGGACATGTACCCTGCCAGGACTGGGTGCACCGGGTGCAGGGTGGCTCCTGAACCTCTTCCTCCTCCTGCAGCAGTGGGTAGCACTGTGCTGGTGACCAGGACACGGTCTGGTGGATGTGGGGAGTTGCCATCAGTTGGGTGACTGGAAAATGTTTTCCGGGGCTGTGCCCCAGTGTGTTTCCCTCACTTGGGACTCACATCTCTGCTTCCCTTGCAGGGCTACCACAGGTCCAACCACTTCATAGCCACTCAAGGTGAGTTCCCCCTTCCTCCTCCCCCAGCCCTTGCAGCCAGCAGTTCAGCAGCTCCTGATTTAGCAGCTGGGTTTCATGCCCGGAGGATTTAACCTTGCATGGACAAGAAAGGGAGGAAGTGGGCTAATTCGGGGCCAAACGGAGTGGTAACAACGTGGAGCAAATCCAGCCCCTCCTGCTGCCCCGCAGCGCCGCACATCCTGGCAGGAAAAGGGTGGTTAAAATGCTGGGGGTGTTAGTGCTGTTGAGGCAGGAGGGGAACCACAGTGGCATCGTGGCACTGCGGTGGCTGGGCTCTGCTGGCACTGCCTGTCCATCCCCGGTGGCCGGTCCTCCATCCGCAGGGCCCAAGCAGGAGATGGTGTACGACTTCTGGCGCATGGTGTGGCAAGAACACTGTTCCAGCATCGTGATGATAACCAAGCTGGTGGAGGTGGGCAGGGTAAGGATCCCATCCCATCCCACTCCCTCTGGGTTGCAGCTCTACCAGGTGCCTCCTCCGCAGAGCCAAACCCCCATCCCGTCCTCTCCTTGCAGGTGAAATGCTCCAAATACTGGCCGGATGACTCCGAGATGTACGGGGACATCAAGATCACCCTGGTGAAGTCAGAGACGTTGGCTGAGTACGCCGTCCGCACCTTCGCTCTGGAGAGGGTACGGCACCATTCCTGCCTGACCCTGCCCTCGCAGGCGGAGGTCCGACTGCCTCGGGCATCTCTACCATCACTAGATTGGCATTTACCAATACCCTATTGATTTAGGGCTTTTTCACCCCTGGTTGAGGTGCCAACTCTGAGCCTGGGGATGCTGATAGCTTCTTCCTTTGCCTTTTCCCTGGCTCTGTGCCTTTCGTGGGGGTGAGCGGCTCAGCCCCGCTCTGGTTTGGGCAGTGAGTGAGTATTTAATTTCCGTGTGAGCACTGTGTAATTGCAAGAGGGGTGAAGGATGCTGCTTCCTCTCCAGGCTGGAGCACAGGTTATGTGGTCATTACTCTCCAGCGTGGTACCTGGGGATGGAGCCGCTGCCATTTACCACTGAATTTACAGGAATGTGAAATTACTGTCTAGTTACAGGGCAGGAAGCAAAGGTGCTTGTGGAATGAGACCGGTGGCTGCCACCCCCTCCTCCTCTTCCTCCTCAGATGGTTTTAACCCTCTTGCGGTTGAGGAAGAGGGAGTTGCAGGGCCCCTGAAGCAGCTGACTGTGGTATAGCCCATCTGGCTGGGTGCTGAGCTGGCAAAATCATGGATTCACAAGAAAATTGGGCATTTGGGTGACTTAGGATTTTGCTTTCCCTGTGCACCCTCAGCCCACCTCTCCTTTCCCTTGCAGCGGGGCTACTCAGCCCGGCACGAGGTGAAGCAGTTCCACTTCACGTCGTGGCCCGAGCACGGGGTCCCCTACCACGCCACGGGGCTGCTGGCCTTCATCCGCAGGGTGAAGGCATCCACGCCGCCCGACGCTGGCCCCATCGTCATCCACTGCAGGTACGTGCCTGGCTGTGGGGTAGAGCTGGCTGTGGGGGAGCCATCCCGGGAGGGGTTTCAGAGCCATGTGGAGGAGGTGCTCAGGGACATGGGTCAGCGGTGGGATTGGCAGTGCTGGGGTCAGCATTGGACTGGATGATCTTAAGGGTCTTTTCCAACCTCAAAGATTTTGTGATTCTGTGTTTCTAAGGCACTGGAGCTAATGGTGTGAGGTTGATGTCCCTTTACAATGGCATCCAGCTGTAAAACGTCACCACCGGGCTGATGGCAGCAGGGATGAGGGAATTGCAGCTAGTTAAGGGGGCAAGCAGGGAGCAGCACTTTTTTGGGACCTGCCCCAGCATCCGTTACTGATGACACAGCTCTGTACCTATGGGTGAGGGTGGCATGGGGGGATGGCCAGCTCAGCTGCTGCTGGTGGTCAGGATGTTGGGTCTGGCTGAAGGGAGGGGCGAGGAGGGATGGCTGGAGAGCCCTATTCCCAGGGTTACCCACACGGGTGTCCCCAGGGGCCTCAGCCCCTGGGACACCGGACGTGGGAGGACACTGGTGGCATGTCTGAGCAGGAGTGGTGGCTTTCTGTCCCCTGAGCAGGCCTCCCATGCGACAGGTTAATGGTTCTTCCTCCGCTGGGCAAACAAGGAGGAGCTGATGAGCGGGAGGGATTTTTTTTATTTGATTTCTCCCCGTCAATTGCCTCATCAGTATTCATTCACCAGCAACAGCGAGTGTGATTAGTGCCCGTAGCCTGTAATCACTGATAATCATGACGAGTGATTCATCAGCCCCAGAAATTAGTATTTCACTGGAAAAGACTTTGTAGCAAAGGAGCAGGGGGGTGGTTCTGTTCCTGGCATGTCGTTGTGGGGGGGTTCACAGCATCCGTGGGTCTTTGGCTGAGTCCAACCATGCCAGAATTTAGGATATTGCTGCTGCTGGGTCGTCTGGCTCTGGGTATTCGGCTGGACTCAGCCGTAAAGCGAGGGTCTCCCCCTGGGAATTCAGACCTGCTCTGTGCCAGGGGTACCTCCCTGCACCCAGGGCTTGGTGCTGAGCATCCTCCTCAGACCTTTTGGGATTGGATCCTGGAGGGCTGTTGGCACTCAGACGGTTTAGCTGCTGGTTTTGTTGCATAAAACATGTGTTTTGCTGTCTTAAAGTGAACATGAACCTTAGACATGGGTGCCCACCCTCTCACCCACAGCCTGACCGTTGCACAGCCCCGGGCTACTGCAGTGGGGTGTTTGGGGGAGTGGTGGGGAAGGTGGTTTAAGGCTAAACTGGGCTGTGGTTATTGGAGGTGTGAGAGGTCCTGGCAGCCCTCCCTGCACCCCCGGCTGCCCCCACATGCACGGGCAGGGACTGTACATCAAGTCCTCAGCCACTCACACCTTGCTTTGTGCCAGCCAGTGTCTCGGGTTGCGTGTGGATGCTGTGGGGACTGAGATCGTGTTTATATTCAATTAGTAAATAGTTCTTATCTGAATTTTATGAGCTTCTGGTTTTTTTTCCTCTGATTCTCCCCCTCTGCTGGAAGCTGGTGGGGAGATGTGTGAGTGTCTTCGTGGTATTTTATTGCTGGCTGTAGTTAAACCACGATCCTGTGTTTTCCTCCTCCGTTCCTAGTGCCGGCACAGGGAGAACTGGCTGCTACATCGTGCTGGACGTCATGTTGGACATGGCCGAGTGCGAGGGCGTCGTGGACATCTACAACTGCGTGAAGACCCTGTGCTCACGGAGGATCAACATGATACAGACGGAGGTGAGCGGGCCTCGGGAGCAGCCGGGGACACGTGGGGCTGCTGTCACCAGCAGGTTGCAGAGGCTCAGCCCTGTCCTCTTTCCTCCCCCCGCGAAAGGAGCAGTATGTCTTCATTCATGACGCCATCCTGGAAGCCTGCCTGTGCGGGGAGACCAGCATCCCCGCCAGCGAGTTCAAGCCCACCTACAAGGAGATGGTGAGGATAGAGCCGCAGAGCAACTCCTCACAGCTGCGGGAGGAGTTCCAGGTGAGTGGCCCCAAAACCCTTGCATCCCCCTGCAACACCCCCTTGCTCCTCACTCACCTGGGGCCCACCACTGCTGGGATCAGCAGGCTCTGATGAGCAGCAGGCAGGAAGGGAACTAAGGGCACTTGTACTCGCAGACCCTGAACTCGGTGACTCCCCACCTGGACGTGGAGGAGTGCAGCATCGCCCTCCTGCCCCGCAACCGGGAGAGGAACCGCAGCATGGATGTCCTGCCACCCGACCGATGCCTTCCCTTCCTCATCTCCGTGGATGGAGACAGCAACAACTACATCAATGCGGCCTTAACTGATGTGAGCGTGCTGTGGGGGGAGCAGGGGCTGGTTTGGGTGGTCTTGGGCAGCTTTTCACAGCAAAAGGTCACTTGGTTTGAATTTTCGGCCTCGTTTGCACAAGGGCACAAAGGCACCTGGCAGCCCCCAGCTGGGACCAGTATAACAGGGTCCTTCAGTCCTTTTGTGTAGCAGCATCTTGCACGTCTTGAAGGAGCTTTTTGGCTACTCTCACAAGCCACACAGAAAGGGTCTTCATTTATTTCATAGCAAAACGGGGCACAGGAGGGAGAAGCTCTGAGAGGTGCTGGTAGCACCGAGCCCTGCTGTGCACTGCCAGCACCTTGCTGTGCATCCTCCTGGTGCAGTTCAGGGGGCTCTGACCTGCTCCCAAAGCCACTGTGCATCCCCCCGGTGCTGTCAGAAAGGACACCCATGATGGCAAAGCTATTTCCGACCTGCTGATGACCGCAAAACAGAGTGGAGCCTGTGCTGCAGGCTCCAAGCCCACACCAAGCAATGGGTCATTTATCACCAAAACCGCTTTCCTCTCCTTGAAACAAGCAGGGGTGCTTTGCACGGGCAGCACTGAGCCCTGCTGCACCCCGGGCACCTTCCCTAAAGCGGTACCAGGCTGAGCCCTGTTATTTTCACCCCACAGGTGATTTGTCTGTGTGCAGATCTTGTCTCCCTGTTACCTGCTCTTGCAGCTCAAAGCAGTTTGTAACGTGGTGGTGGCTGCTAGCAGCTGGGGAGCAGCACCCACTGGGCTGCAGGCTTTGGCTTCCGTGGGGTGGGAGCTTTGTTTTCAGCTTGCTTGGTGTTTGCATATCCATTTTATTTTTATACGCCACTGAGCCTCCCTTAATCTCTGCTACAGGGTCAGAGAATAGAAATTTCTTTACAGACAGAAAAAGCCTTTTGGATAAAATTCTCGCTGAAGGGATAAAATCCATTTCCCTCTTCGGGGAAGAAACAAAATCTCATTTTCCTCAAGTGCCAGAGCGGTTTGCTCAGTCTGTCCGTCCGTCTGTCAGATGAGTTTGCTCTGTGCTGCCCGTCACCGGTGCTGAGCGCTGTGGCAGTGCCGATGCCGGAGCTGTGCTCTGCTCTGCACCGGCTGCTGCTGTTTACACCAGTGCCAAAGGATTGCGGGTGCCAGGGCAAGCCTGGTCAATACGTGATGACATCTCCCTCGCCCTGCTGCTCTTACTGCCCTTCACCAGGGTGGAAAACTGGGATCTCGCTGCCTCCCCATGGAGAGGGCAGGAGGAAAGGTTTGATGAGGGCATTTCCACGTGCTAAATCAGGAGGTTTTGCAGGGGCCAGAGGACTCCCTGGTAGCAGGGAGCGCTGTACTGATTCTTGGGTACTGAGCATTTTCTGCTCTGTTCCTGTATCTGAGGAGACGTGAGCTGAAGTGTGTTAATTTAAGTCTGATTGATGCAGTGCTGAGCCCAGCCATGGGCTCCCCATCCCTCAGTGAGCTGGTGTCGGGGTGGCCAAGGGGACAAGTCTTGTTTGAAGCACGAACGAGAAGTACAGTAATTTTTTTACCCTTCTTCCTTCTTGCAGTCTCTAGGGCTCTTTCATTCAGGTTTCCTTCTCTCCCCAAAAAGAGCACTGACCCTGTTGCCTCTTTGCTGCTGCTAGTGCCCAGAGATGTTGGGGTGATGCTGTGGGTGATGCTTTTGCTCAGGACTGGGCTGCAGAGCTGGGTGCTGGGGCGATCTTTCAGCCAGGGCTTGTGCTTGTTCCTGGCTCAAAGGATTCCCTAGTTGTGTGAAACGCCCATCCCTGTGAGAGCTGAGAGCAGGAAGCGAGTGCTTTTGTTGCCACCAAGGGCAGTAATCGCTTAGACCTGGTTTTATAGCATCTCCCCAGCAGCGGGGCATAGAGGGACTGAGGCTGTGCCAGGGCAGCCAGCTCTGTTAAGCCGTGGAGAAGATGGCTTTGGTGACACTCAACTTCTGGCTGAGTTGTTTTTTTGAGGTGCCCTGTGAGAGCTGAGAGCAGGAAGCGAGTGCTTTTGTTGCCACCAAGGGCAGTAATCGCTTAGACCTGGTTTTATAGCATCTCCCCAGCAGCGGGGCATAGAGGGACTGAGGCTGTGCCAGGGCAGCCAGCTCTGTTAAGCCGTGGAGAAGATGGCTTTGGTGACACTCAACTTCTGGCTGAGTTGTTTTTTTGAGGTGTGACAGCAGTGACTGGTCCTTAACGATGCTCATCTTCCCTCTCTGCAGAGCTACACCAAGAGCGCTGCCTTCATCGTCACCCTGCACCCGCTGCAGAACACCACCACCGACTTCTGGCGGCTGGTGTATGACTATGGCTGCACCTCCATCGTCATGCTCAACCAGCTCAACCAGTCCAACTCTGCCTGGGTGAGTGCTGCCGCCCCGGGCGCTGCGCCAGTGACCCTATCCTGCTCCCTTCCCGCTGCCTTGGAAGGGCTGCAGCCCCAGCCTGGCTCGCTCCCCTCCCTCTCCTCTGCACGGGGAGATGGGGCTGGCTGCAGTATCCAGGATTTATCTTCTGTAAGCACTGGGCTGGCCAATTGGAGCCAAAGATACATGGCAGCAGCAAACCAGCCTGGCTTTGTCGCGTTGGCGTCGCGTTGGCGTTGTGTTGGTGTTGCGTTGGCGTTGTGTTGGTGTTGCGTTACTATATGATTGTCTTTGGGAGATACAAGGCTAACGAGTATAACCTTATTATAAAGAACTGATTTTTATCCTCCTTTACAAAGGGGAAACTGAGGCATGGGGAGTTTCCAAGGGCACTGGCTTGTGAACGCCGCTTTACAAATCAGCCTGTTGCAAAGCAGCTGTCCTGTGGGTTTTATGGTGTGATGGGATGTGCAGATCTGCTGAACTGCAGGGGAGGTGTCCTGTCACCTGGGGGAGAGGGGACAGAAGCTGGGGAGCAGAGCCTCACCTCGCTTTGCTCTCCTGGTGCACCGCTCCCCAAGGGGATGACTGGAGCGCTCCTGCTGCCACCAGAGCGGATGTAAAATTCTGCTATGGGTCTGTCATGTTAATTCAGTGAGGAAAGTTACTGCATTTTTACATAAAATTAGCATTATAGACTCTTAATGGGTGTCTGGAGAAGACTTCATTAGCTGTCTTATTTTACAAGTTGAGATCAGATATTCAGTGTAAATGGCCCAAAATGGCAGTTGTACCATTTGTGGCAAGGATGCGGCTAGATGTGGCGCTGGTACCGAGCAGTGTGTAAATACGCCGGGATGTGGTTATATATATCAATATCCTGGACACACGGCGAGCTGTGAGGCACTCCCACACATCCCTTGAGCTGATGCCATATGCTCCAAAGGACCTTTGCATGGGTTGACATTAAGCAGACCCTGAGCATCGAGGGGTGTCCGGGGTGGTCTCTGGCCCTGTGGAGGTTTGCTGCAAGAGGAGGCAGAGCTGGCCCCAGGGAGCTTCCCAGCTCGTACGCTCGCTCAGAGGAGTTGCTCTTAGATCAGGTTCATGTTTAATGAAGCCTTCTGCCCATGGACACGCTGAAATGAGCAGGTTTGTGTGACTGGGGTTGTTGGAGAGGCCCCTTCCAGCGGCTGGAACTGTTTTGACAGTCACGAGCGTGGTGATGGTGATGAAAAGGTCAGATATTTATGGGTAGGAATCGGGGAAGGCCAACAAGGCAGATGTGGTGGGAGCCTGTTATAGAGCACGCAGCCCTGCCTCCAAGGAAGGAGCAGAGAGCGAGGTGTTGATCTCTTCTCCCAAGTGGTTCTTCCTGCAGTAAGTCCAAGTTGTGGCTCCTACAGGGCAGATTGATGGCGTTGCCAGCAGCAGTGCTGTAGTTATCCCCAGATGGGATGCAGGATGGGCAGGAGAAGCCCAAGGCTGCTGCCTGCAGCCCCGCTGCCCCTGGCC